CCAGCAGGGCCACGTGAGTGAGTGCGGGGTCGCACCTGTTCCACGGCAGGGCGCTGGCACCAGGGCGCCCGGGAGGAGGTGGCGGAGCCGGGACAGGGCCAAGCTTCGTTCCCTGCCCTCCCAGCTCGGGCCTCGCCACTTCTGCAGCTGAGGACACAAACCCCGGTCGTGGGGGTGAGGGGACACGTTCCACGAGAAAGGGAGGCGCCCTCCTGTTCACCACCCACCGCCCATCCCCACCCCCACCCATTCGCCCTCCTGTCCGTCCACCCACCCACCCCTCCTTTCACTCAAGAAACACGTAATGGGCACCTACTGTGTGCCAGCCCTTCTGGGCACTAGGCGTTCCCACGATCTCTGCGGTGACAGCTCATGGTGACACTGCCCTTGGACAAAGGCAGGCCAAATGTCCAGGGACCTAGTAGCCTGACCCAGTGATTCCGGGGGACAGAGGGGCTGAGCAGCACTGGCGGGGTGGCCTGGCCCCGGGCCCCCCACTCCTGCCCACTCTGGCCCCAGGGGCCTGCGCAGCCCAGGTCCAGTCCTGACTTGCCCTCGGCTGTGTGACTCTGGCCCCAGGGCCACCAGCCATCCCGGCATGCCCGGGACCGAGAGCTTTTCCAGGGTGTGGGACTTTAGTGCCACCGAGGCCTCCTCCATGGAAGAGGCAGCTCTGCCCAGAGGGACGTGAGGACCCTCAGGGCTCACTCCCGTGAAGGGCATACAGCTGGTGCTCAGATATTGCTGTGACAGTCTAGCACCTGCGCTCAGTTGATTTTCCCACCCAGCCAGAGAGGGGTCTCTGGCCGGGTGGGACGCGGCCCCCACCCCAGGTCCCCCGAGCTGGGAGGGGACACCAGACAGACCCCACCCACCCTCACTGAGCTGACACCCCCCTGCCCAGGCAGAGCCTGAAGGTCACGCTGACCTCCTGCCCCTCCTGACCTAAAGCGCCGCCCACCCTCTGGCCTCAGTTTCCCCACTAGCACCTGAAGGAGTGTGGTGGTTCTTTCTGGGGGGAAATTGAAGGGTGGAGGCTAGAAGGGCCCAGCGTGGCCTGGCCCCTCTGATCCTCTCGTTGGGGGGGCCCCCTGTCCCCTTGGCCCTGCCCCCGCACCCCTAATCCGGCCTCTAAGCTGACACAGCGTCTGGAGCTGCAGCCCATCCGCTAAGTCGCCCAAAGCGCCCCGCGCCTCATGCCCCGATCCCCCCTGTGGCCTCTTAACCCACCCGGGCCAATTAGCTAATTGGGGCCTGAGACCAGAAGCAGCTCGTTAGCGTTTTAAAGTGATGAAGCAGTTAGGGAGATTATCTCCGCCCACCCTACCCACGGGGCGGAGGACGCGGGGGGCCCCAGGACCCTCGGGGAGCTCCAGCCGCCCCTCTGGCCTGGGCTCGGGCATCCAGGGCCCCCTCGGCTGGCTTGGCCCTGAGCCCCCCGCCCACCGACCTCGGCCCTTGCTGCGGGGACGGTGGGAGCCCATGATGGCTTCCTGGCCGCGCTGCTCGACCCTGCGGGCAGACCCGGCCCCCTCTAGGACCCGGTTGTCCCGTTTGCACTTGTTCCTCGGTCCACCCACCCACCAGCCTGGATCCCCTCACTCTGCCGCATCCCCCCCTCCTGGCCTCAACGCCCTCCTGAACCCCGGAGTGCCATCTCCTCTTGGATTTGGGGACCCCCCCTGCCTGAGACCCCCCAGGCTCCTTGGGCAGGAGTCGAGGGGATGCCAGTCTCAGGGGCCTCCCCCGGAACCTGCTCTGCCTCTCCGGCCACTGCCTCTGAAGCAACCCCGCCATTCCTGTCCCCATAGCGGGCCTGGGCGTCTCCCTCCCTGTCTGTCCTCTGACCTGCCGACTGTGCCCTCCCTCCACACCCTCCCATGGCTCCCCAGTGCCCTCTCCTTCCTACCCAATCGTGTCCAGAATCTGCAGCCTTGCCCCCACCTGCTGTCCCAACCGCCTTCCTTAAAATACCACCTCGCAGCCCTCACGTCCCTTCCCTGCCCTGCTGGGTTTCTCACGGGACCACCTGATGCGTTTTCATGTAACTGGAAGTCAGCCCCGTGACTCTGTTTTCTTCCCTACTGCTGTCGGCAATACCTGGTACACAGTAAGTGCTCAATAAATGTTTATTGAATGACTAGTGAATGAACAGCGAACTTCTACTCATACCTCAAGACCCAGCTAAAATGCCCCTTACCCCTTGCCCTGGTCGGTGTCCAGAGGAGCCACCTGGAGTTGCCCTCACCTCTGGGGACCTCACCTACCCAACCCCTCTGACCCCCGAGAGTCTTAAGAAGGACTTTTTCTGGCCCCGGCTGATAAAAATAATTGCAGCGGACACTGGCGAAGTGCTCGATGCTCGGCAGTCACTGTGTGCGATGCTGTGGGCTTTTGTCGTTGAGAAATGGTGAGGTCCCCCTGGGGGAGGTCCTGGTGTTGCCGTTTGACAGCCAGGGAAACTGAGGCCCAGAGAGAGGGAGGCCCTTGGTATCCCACCGCTGGGTGGTGGAGCCAGGCCTGGAGCCCCTGCCCTCCCTGAGCAGCTCAGGACACCCAGCCCCCAAGCGGGAGGGGCCGCCCCGTTAATCGCCCCGAGCTAATCCTCCCCTGCCCCTGCCCGACCCCGGTGGCTCAGCACGGCCAGGCCACGGTGGACGGGGCGCAGCCGCTGGGGCGGGAGCCCCGTGGACACCGACCGAGGGGCTGCCGCGGGTGGCGAGCGCTGGGTGGGCAGAGACCACAGATGTGGGGTGGAGGCATCTGTGGGGCCGCCCTGGGTGGGGGTCCCTGACACACAGGGACAGAGACAGACGGGGACAGGGACAAAGTGGGAGGCAGAGCGCAGGCAGGTCCGTGGAGGGACCTGTCTCACCTCCACCCACCCTGCTGCCGCCCCGCCGGGTGAGCTGCCATGTTCCTGAGCCCGGGAGAGGGGCCGGCGGTGGAGGGTGGAGGGCTGGCGCCGGGCGAGGAGGCCCCCAAAAAGAAGCACCGGAGGAACCGCACCACCTTCACCACCTACCAGCTGCACCAGCTGGAGAGGGCGTTTGAGGCCTCCCACTACCCGGATGTGTACAGCCGCGAGGAGCTGGCGGCCAAGGTGCACCTGCCCGAGGTGCGCGTGCAGGTGAGGGCACCCCACCTCCATCCCTCACCCCCCCGCAACATGGGGAGGGAGGTGGAGCCAGAGGTTGACCCTCCCAGTGGGTGAGCAGAAGAGAAACTGGGAAGGCTTCCCAGAGTGGGGGATGTGGGAGCTGAGGCTTTGACGTTGGCCTAGGAGTTTGCCAGCTGGGAAGGACAGAGGGTGTTTCCCTAAGTATCCACCATGGCGCATGCAAAGATGTGGAGGGCATACGTTAGGGCGTTTCCTTTGAGCTGGGTGTGAGGTGGGGGATGGGAGGCAGAGAAGGGAGTGGATAACAGAGCCTGTGAAGGCCTTGAATGCCGAGCTCAGCAGCTCGGGCCTCATGCTGACAGCCAAGGGAGATGGGGGTTGCAGGGGTGGAGGGGCACGATGAGTCAGGTCAGACGGAAGCAGGACCCCCAGAAACTAGAAGGCCCAGGAGCGGCTCTGTGCTGAGCTCACAGCACCCCTCCGGCCCCCTCCAGGTGTGGTTCCAGAACCGCCGGGCCAAGTGGCGCCGCCAGGAGCGTCTGGAGTCAGGCTCGGGGGCTGTGGCAGCCCCAAGGCTCCCTGAGGCCCCAGCGCTGCCGTTTGCTCGTTCCCCGGCCGTGCCACTGCCCCTGGAGCCCTGGCTGGGCCCTGCGCCCCCGGCGGTGCCAGGCCTGCCCCGCCTGCTGGGCCCCGGCCCGGGGCTGCAGGCGTCCTTCGGGCCCCATGCCTTCGGCCCCGCCTTCCCTGATGGCTTCGCGCTGGAGGAGGCGTCCCTGCGGCTGCTGGCCAAGGAGCACGCGCAGGCTCTGGACAGGGCCTGGCCACCCACCTGAGCCTGGTGCCCACCAGGCTGGCCACCGCCCCTGACCCGAGGGCCTGCTCCACGCCCTGGTGACAGAGCCAGAGCCTTGGTCTGGGCCGAGGTCACTGGCGGCCCAGTGGTCAAGCCTGGCTCAAAGCTGGTTCCGTGTGGCGGTCAGTGCGGGTCCCTCTGCCCGCTCCCCGCCCCCGCAGCAGAGCTGCAACTCTCAGCGCCTCCCTCTCCCCCAGAAGTGACAAGCGACAGCAGTAGCCACTCCCACTCAGCCCGGCCCCTCTCCCTGCACACCCGCTGCGCTCAGAGCTGAGCGCTTCACCCCCAGGCGGCCCCATGAGCAGGCAGTGGCAGCCCGTTCTGCAGTGGACAACGCAGGGCCCAGAGACGGAAAGCCAGTTTCCTGAGGCTGCACAGCCAGCAGAGGGGGAGCTCCGCTGGGCCCAGGCCATGGGCAGCAGGCGGCTCTCAGGTGGACACGGCCGACGCTGTATCGTCCGCCCCTTCCTTACCCAACAGGGCCCCCCTCATGTCTCCCACCCAGCGAGGGCCAGGCCAGCATCGGCTCCGTCAACCCAGCAGGCCTCACAAGGTTAAGTCACAGGGGCCTGCCGCGGGGTTAGGAACGAGGTGTGGGGATGGGACAGCCTGGGCCAGGGCGACCCCCAGGGCAGGAGCTGCAGTGGCCACACTGGGGTGCTCACACCCATGCTTGGACGGCACATTATACACGAGCCTGGTGGCCCCACATCCCGTGCACGCTGTGGCAGCCAGGCCGCCCCAGCCACCCACCCGGCATCCCCCCGCACCAGGCCCTGGGCACGTGGGAGCGAAAGAATGAAAAACCAGGAAGGGCCGATCAGGAGTGCGGCAGGACTTGCAGTTTTATTAGGGTGGCCAGGGAGTCCTCGAGGAGAAGGTGGCATCAGAGCAGAGACCTGGTGGCGGGGAGGGAGGAGTGATCCAGGCAGAGGCACAGCCCGTGCAAAGGCCCTGGGGCAGGACCGTGCCTGGCGTGTTGGAGGCACAGCGAGGAGGCCGGTGTGGCTGGAGCAGAGGGAGGAGGGGGAAAGAGGGAGGAGGGGAGGGCAGGGAGGGGACAGGACAGGTGGTGCAGTGGCCTTTATAACTTTGGTCTTTACCCTGAGAGCAGGGGAACTGTGGGAGGTGGCAGTGGGGCCGCATGGCCCTCAGGGAACACCAGAGGGGGACGTGTGCTCATGCCCTCCACCTGCCAGGGCAGCCCGGGGAAGGCAGGCGCGCAGTAATCCGCACCACGGCGTCCCTCTAAGACGATGAGCTTCCCGGGACAGGGCAGCATTGGCCTCCCTGTCTGGGAGAGACTGAACGTCACCTCGGTTCTCGGCGCCCACGAAGACGCTTTCCCGAGCCCGACGGCCTGGGTCGGGCCTGCGGCTGTGGTGGCTGAGAGGGGCTCAGCTGGGACCACCTGCCCCTCGTGGTGTGGAGTCGCGGCCCCCAGGGCAGTGTCAGGGACCCAAGGAGCGAAGCCCACCTGTCCCCAGGCCCGACGTCAGACCGAGGGGCGTCCAAGGGCCACCACGACAGGTCTTTGTTGGCCTCCGCGGCCCTGGTCCAGCCTGGCTGGGGGTGCCACGCAGAAGCCCCAAGTCCGTTCTCTCCAGAAAAACAGAAAGTCCCGGCGGCGGGGCTGGGGGGACGCTGGGCCCCGCCGGGCCCTCCTTCGGGGCACTCGGGCCTGTCCGCGCTAGAACTTCTTGTTCTTGCTCAGCCGGTTGTGGCGCCAGATGTTCTGCTTCCGCAGCAGCCGCCAGTACTGCCGGGTCTCGGGGTCCAGCTCCTCCAGCTTCTTAGGGGGGCCCAGGTTCATTTCGAACAGCCTGTCGGGTGCAGACAGGAAGCAGGGCGGTGCGGCGACCCCCCAGGGCTCCCTGTGGCAGCAGGGCTGGATCCGAGTCCCGCTCACAGGCGTCCCTCCCCCTCCCGGGCCGGGTCCTGGCCCTGGAACGAGAAGCCACTGTCCCAGTGGCGCTGGTATCTCATCTGAGGTGGGCACGCGCCAGTCCTTGTCCTGCCTCCCACCACTGTCCACTGTGCCACGTGCCTGCCCACTCCTCAGCCTTCCCAAGCTCGGGGGTTCCCATGTCCTGTTCTTGGGGTTCGGGGAGGGGGGACAAAATCCTCCCTGCAGCACACCAGTCCCTGAACGACCTGCCCATCCCCTCCCTGCCCTCCCCTCCTCCCTCTCTCCCCCTCCTCACTCTGCTCCAGCCACACGGGCCTCCTCGCTGTGCCTCCCACACGCCAGGCTCTGTCCTGCCCCAAGGCCTTTGCACGGGCTGTGCCCTCTCTTTGAAGCCCCTTCCAGCCACTGCATCTCCTCCCCAGGGAAGCCCCCTCACAATGAAACGTCAGACTTGACCAGCCAAGCCGCCCCACCCCATCACTCACTCTGCTGCCCCTCCTCCCGGGATTGTCACCACCCTATCTCCCTGATTATCCGTTCACTCTCTGCCTCCCCAGCTAGCTCCAGGAGGGCGGGGATCTTTGCCTGTTTTGTGTCCTTTGTATCCCCGAAGCCTAGAACAGGCCCTGGCATACAGTCGGCACTCAATAAATGTTTGTGAAAGAAAAAAAAGGCATCGTTTTAGGCACTTCAATGCGTTTTGATCTCATGAATTCCCCACAACCCTCTGAGGGAGGGAAGGTCCCCATCACTCCCACTGACAGATGGAACAACTGAGGCAGAGTGGTGCCGCCCTGTGCCCTGAAGCCAGGACCGGGCGGGTGTCACCCTCTGGAGTGGTGATCTGCCCTGCCTGGGTGTCCTCAGCCTCCCGCTGGGGCGGACGAGGGGACAACGCTTGGTCCAGGACGACGCAGCCCAGCCCACTCACCACTCGGGGTACTCAGAGTCTGGCTTCAGGGCCACGTCCTCGCCCTCCTTATAGATGTTGACACCCATGGCGTACGTGGTGAGCCGGACGGGGTCTGTGCACACGTCGGGGTCCTTCAGGGCCTCGCTGGCCACGCCGCCTTTGCCCCCTTTGCCCCCCTTCATGACTGGGAGAAGCGGGAGAGAGTCGTTTCAGCCCAGCTCCACCCTGGGAAAGCCACCCTTCCCGCCCTGCCCGCCCCGGGCCCTGGCTGGACTCTCGGCCGCAGCTTTAAACAACACCGATACTCAGAGTGAACACGTCTTGCTCTTTATTTTTTTGACTAGCCACTAGAATAATGAGTATCCCTTTTAGATTATATTTTGGTTGCATGTGGTTATCTCATGGGGAAAGTCTCCGATGGGCCATCTTTAACAGTTGCTAATTTTCTCCTTTTGACAAAGGAGATCAGGCAGGGCTGTATCCAGCAAAACTTTAACCACCTCGTTTTCGTCTTGCTTGAGTGGCTAAGACTTAGCTGGGCCCCTATGACTTTGAATTTCTTGAGATGACTTCCCCAAAGTCGCACAATGACTTGGAAGCAGAAACTGCTTTGGAACCCAAGTTCATGACCTGCCCCCTGCAACCCCCCCACCCCCCCAATCCCTACGAACCCGCGCCTGCGCAGTGAAACGCAATTGCTCCATGGAACCCACAGCTTCGTTATTGGCTGAGCGGCGCCTGCGCATTGGACCCGATCGCTCATTACGGTAACCCTCACACTGCGCCTGCGCGTAGAGCTGCTCTCCGCTTGCGCATGAGTTCTAGATCCCACCTCTCCAAACAGCGCCTGCGCACTACCAACCCGCCGGTGTACCCACCGTCCCCATCTTGGTTCCTGTTAACCCAGCTCACCCGGTTTCTTGGCATAATCCCGGATCAAGAGTCTCCCAGGACCGGAGGGATCTAGAAGCGCCCGGGCCCCGCAACTGGCCCATGTCCGGGTAGCCCCAAAGAGGCGTCTCGCCGCCATGACGTATTCCTCGCTGCTTGCGCGTGCACGTTTCCGGGATACGACAGCGGCCCAGGGGGTGCTTGGGAGTTGTAGGCCCCAGAGGTTTCTGGGAAATGTAGTCTTCCCAGTAGGCATCTATTTACCGTGATTTCTTTAGACTTTTGTAGACGTATCAGTTACTGTATGAGGGGCTGTTCAAAGGCTATTTCATTGCCTTCTTGCCCTTCTTCAGTTACGTAACGCTTACTTAAATTATTACACTTTTTATGTTCCTGATTCTATCCAATGAGCAATTCTTGAAAGCCTAAAAGAAAAACTCACAATTATTACTCTCCTACTATGTTCCGGCCCTGTTGCTAAATCCTTAAGCTGCCTGATCCGTTTATTCCTCACAATTGGTGGGGAGGGACTATCATATCCCCAGGTAACGAGGGAACGGAGGCTCAGGAAGGTAAAGATTCCAGGCGGATCCCAAATGCTCCGGGACGAGCCGTTGTCTCCCCACAGTGAGCCAAACCGGAAGTCCGTCTTCAACAGGGTCCCCACACTGCTTCCGGTGCCCCAAGTCCCGCAGAGACCACTTCTTCCCTTCCGCCATCTGTTGGAATCATGACCACAGTCATAGGAGGCAGGCAGTAATTATTAACCCTGTTTCGCAGTAGAGGAAACATGCCCAGGGGCCAGCCCGGGCTCCCACGCTGCGTGCAGGGAGGACCAGGATTCAAACCCTAGGTCGGCTACACCGCACGGCGGGGCTAGCCCGGAAGAACTACGTTTCCCAGCAGGCTTTGCGAGGCCGCGCATGCCCAGTGGGCCAGGGCGCTGCGCGAATAGTTGAGTCGGCGCCCCGGCAAGGAATTCGCGAGCTGCGGCTGCAGGGAGCGCGGCCGGGCTATCACAGGGCTGTCCTGGAGGCCGCGCGGTGCTTAGGAGGCTGCGATGTGAGACGTAAGTGCCCCGGTCCGGCAGGGCGCTGTCTGGGGCTGGAGCCTGAGGTCGGGGGTCCGCGTGCGGGCTGGGGTCGGGGTTCAGGCTGGATCTGAAGTCGGAGTCTGTGTCTGCGTCGATCTTGGCGAGACCTTGAGGATTTGGAGACTGAGATCTGCTTTGTGGCGTCTTGGATCTCTCGTTTTTAAGTCTGGGGTCCTCGGTCTCAAGTCTTGGGTTGGGGTCCTGAGTTATTAGGTTTGGGGGTCACGGAACTGGGGTCTTGACTGCGGGGGCTCAGGGATCTGCCTCTGACGGGTCTGTAGGGTCAGGGTATGAGCAGGTCTGTGTCTCCAGCCTGGGTTCCACGTCGCAGGGGAGGAGGACTTGGAATACCAGGGGTGGAGTGAACAGAGTCCACGAGTTGGGAGAGGAGAGGTCTGGGGGTGACAGGTGCCTCATTTTCCTCATCTGCAAAGTGGGGACCCTAACTTCCTTGCCGGCTACAGCAGGGATTAAATTACGTGTTCTCTAGCAACAGTGCCCAGCTAGAGCCTGTCACCAGGTCGGCACCCAGGAAGCCTCAACTTCGGATCTCTGTCTTTCAGCCACAGGGGAAGATGCTAGCCTGAGCCCCGGGGTCCAGCCATGGAATTCCTGACAACGCCCCAGTCCCCTTCAGGGCCTCCAGCCATGGACTTGGAGGAACCCAGGGACATTCTTGTGCCCTCCGAGGACCTCACCCCTGACAGCCCGTGGCACCCGGTGCCGGGAGGCCCCAGCAGCCTGAGTCAGATGGAACTTGATGGGTCTAGTATTCAGGACCTGGTGCAACAGTTTGAAGCTCTGCCAGGCGATCTGATGGGCCTGTCCCCAGACAGAGCCCCCTGTCCCCTACACATTGCCACCGGCCACGGCCTGGCCCCCCCAGACATCGCCGACGCCCATGGGCTCTTGTCTGCTGAGGTCGGCCGGGATGACCTACTGAGCCTTTTGCACTGTGAGGAATGCCCACCTTCCCAGCCTGGTCCCAAGGGACCTCCAGAGCCTGCCCCTCGCCTGTTGCAGCCCCCTGAGGACCCAGATGGGGATCTCAGCGCCTCAGAATGGGCGGAGGGAGCCTCCGCCGAGCGGGGGGACGGTGGTAGCTCAAGCAGCTCCCCGGAGCCCTGGCTGGAGACGGTGCCTCTGGTTGCACCTGAAGAGCCCTCTGCCGCCGCCGGTGCCCAGGTAGTGCCTGTCCCACCCTCCAGGTGTCCTCGACTGCCTGGAACCAAGTAGGGCGACTCAGTCCTGCCCCTCCTCTGTCTTCTTCCAGAGCCCCAAGACCCTGGCTTCATACCCTGCCCTCCAGGAGGGTGAGTGTTCCACTCCGGCCCCAGGGACTTAGGGGTTCCAGAACAGCCAGAACTGGGCTCCCCAAATCTGGGGGAAGTTTGCCAGCAAGGATGAGGTTCTAGGGAGGCTCTGCGGGGAGTCTTGAGCAGATTCCAGGTGGCCAGGGAGAGAAGAGACAGTTCTGAGAATGTCGTAGCATGAGAAGGGGGCGGTAGGGTGGCCTTGACCATTTGTGGCACTCAGGTGTAGAGCAGGGCTTGGCAAGTCACCCTTTGTAGGCCACACCCAGCCTGCTGCCTGTGCTCATGGTTCTTTTGAGCTAAGGATGGCTTTTGCATTTTTTTTTTTTTTTTTGAGACAGAGTCTCACTGTGTTGCCCGGGCTAGAGTGCCGTGGCGTCAGCCTAGCTCACAGCAACCTCAAACTCCTGGGCTCAAGCGATCCTCCTGCCTCAGCCTCCCGAGTAGCTGGGACTATAGGCATGCGCCACCATGCCCGGCTAATTTTTTCTATATATTTTTAGTTGTCCAGCTAATTTCTTTCTATTTTTTTAGTAGAGACGGGGTCTCGCTCTTGCTCAGGCTGATCTCGAACTCCTGAGCTCAAACAATCCGCCCGCCTCGGCCTCCCAGAGAGCTAGGATTACAGGCGTGAGCCACCGCGCCCAGCCGGCTTTGCATTTCTTAATGATTGAAAAACAAAATCGAAAGAAGAATAGCATACCTTGACATGTGAAAACGCTATCCAGTTCAAATTTCAGTGTTTGTAAATAAAGTTTTATTGGAACAGTCATACCTGTTCATTTCTGTATTGTCTATGGCTGCTTTCCTGTTACAGCGGCAGAGTTGAGTAGTTGCAACAGAGACCATGTGACCCCAAAGCTGAGGACATTTACTGTTTGGCCCTTTGCAGAAAATGTTTGCCAATAAGAGTCACTTCTGGCCATCTGGAATGTTCTAGAATTTCCCCCAAAATGACTAAAGGTCAAAGAGCAAGTTCTGTGGTTGCAGGGGGAAGAGCTGGTGGGGACCTGTAGCTCCAAGAAGGTTCTAGAGTCATGGGAAGAGTCATGACTCACCTGGTGTTCCGGAGCTTGGCATTTTGCCTGTGGTTCTAGATTAGCAGTACCTGAGCTATGAGAGCGTTCTGAATTGATGGACAGAGCCGTCTAGTTCTATTCAGACTGGAGACATTCTAGAACCATGAAGCAGGTAGAATTTATTTGCTGTTCTGGATCATGCGGTGTTCTAGAACCCTGGACAGAGCTGTCTAATTCTAGTGTACTCAGAAAGTTCTAGAGAGAACTACAATGGAAATATGATATGAGCCATGTGCGATTTAACATTTTCTAGTTATCTATATTTTTTAAAAGCCCTAAAAAGGGGGGACTTAACTTTAATAATATATTTTAATTAATCCAGCATATTTAAAATATTATTCTTTCAACATATAATCACTATTTTTAAATTATGTTACTATTTTTGCCTATTCGATCTTCAGAATCCTGCGTGTATTTTATGCTTGTGGCACATCTCAGTCTGGACCAGCCACATTCCAAGGGCACAAGAGTCACGTGTGCCTCATGGGTCACAGTGGGCAGCACGATTCTAGAACCCCAGAGTGGGCTGTCTGTTGTTCTGGGAGGCTTAGGTCACGAAGGATGATGAGCAGAGCTGGCTGCGATTTGAACTCACTTAAGGATGCCCGGAATCCAGTCCCACACCCACACTTCTACGCCAAAGAACCGTAGTTGCTGGTTGGAACATTCTAGAACCAACTGGCAGAGCTCTCTGGTTCTAGGTGGCTCAGGGAATCCCAGAGCCCTGGGAGCAAAGCTTTACGTAGTTCTGGGTTGGGTATACTCTAGAACCATCTAGAACCCTCCTAGAGCAGAGTTATTTACAGACTTCTCAGATAATTCTTAGAATCGTGGGCATGGCTGAGGCTGCAAACTACTTGTGGGGATTCTAGAACCATAGGATACCTGACACTCATGCTTGAGAAGTTCTAGAATCATGGAGTGAAGACGTCTGATTCTCGAATGAGAGAGGTTTCTAGAGCCCCCGACAGAATGGTTATCTGAGACTTGTCAGGGAGCTCTGGAATCGGGTCAGAGCCATCTGGGCTCTGGACAGCGTGGGGAGCTTTAGACACGGGGACAATTGTCTCTCTACTCCGATTGTGCAGTTTTGCAGGCAAGTACTAGAGCAGCCTGTTGTCCTAGGCTTTCTGGAGAGAATTCTAGAACAGCAGGCAGAGTTGGCTGGTTCTAGATTGATTGCCGGCAGCGACAGTCACTGTAGTCCTAGAGTGTCGTGGGCTTTAGAAATCTGAGCGGGACCGTCTGGTTCTGGCCTGACCATGGGATTCTAGAAACACAGGGTGCAGGTCTCTGTGGGTGCTAGAGCTGGTTTTGGATCCAGCCTTGGTTCTGAGCTCAGGGGGCTCCAAGTGCTGACCACACAGCCTGCACGGCCTTGAGGGTCGGACAGGAGGGTCTAGACCTGTGAGGGCCGAGCCGCTTGGGTGGTTCTGGAACAGTGGACTGAGCTTCGTGGCTCTAGAGCGTGCTAAGCGACAAGGTTGAACTCTCCGTCTTCCAGACCATCTTGGGGAGCCCAGAGCCCACAGGGGCGGGTTCCCGAGGGCTGAGCCCTCCCTGCTGTTGTCCGCAGTCCCTGGTCCCTGTGACCATGAAGACCTCCTAGACGGTGTCATATTTGGGGCCAAGTACTTGGGCTCCACCCAGCTGCTGTCCGAGCGCAACCCGCCGCCCAGCGCGCGCATGGCCCAGGCCCGGGAGGCGATGGACCGCGTCAAGGTGAGGCCGGGGCCGCGGCGGGCGGGTGGGCTGCAGACTGAGGCCGCGTCTTTGGGGACCTCCACCTCCCACGCCGCCCCCCACAGGCCCCAGACGGGGAGACCCAGCCCATGACGGACGTGGACCTCTTCGTCTCCACCAAGAGGATCAAGGTGTTGACCGCCGACTCCCAGGTACGGGATGGGGACCTGGCTGGGGCAACAGGGGACCTCAGGGCCGGGCAGCTCTCCCACCCACCCGCGTCTGCCGCCCCAGGAGGCCATGATGGACCACGCCTTGCACACCATCTCCTACATCGCCGACATCGGCCGCGTGCTGGTGCTCATGGCGCGGCGGCGGCTGGCCCAGAGGCCGGGACCCCAGGACGGTGGCCGCCGCCTCTACAAGATGCTCTGCCACGTGTTCCACTCGGAGGATGTGAGCAGCCGGGGCCGTCTCTAAGCCCCACGGACGCCCCTCAGCCCCCTGGGCCATGCGTGTGAACTGTCCCGTTAGCCTCCGAGGCTGGCAGCCACCTCCCCTAAACGCTCCCGCTCCTGGGCTGTCCCCGTCGCCCGACCTGCCCCAGGGCCACTGGCTGGGTCTCCCCGCGAGCTTTTCCTGCAGCCTGTGCTGCGGCAGCTGTCTCCCCTCCCCTCTCCTCTTCCTGTGGGTTCTCCGAGATCACAGCCTTGTCCCCACCTCCCCGGAAGCCCCAGGAATCTCTCCCAGGTGGGCACAGAGGGCTCGGCTCCAAGGATGTCAGGGGACTTCGGGGACCTGGAGGAGGCGGGCACACACCCCAGGGACATGCTGCTCCCCGCACAGGCCCAGCTCATCGCCCAGGCCATCGGCCAGGCCTTCGCCGCGGCCTACAGCCAGTTCCTGCGGGACAGCGGCATCGACCCCAGCCGGGTGGGCGCCTGCCCCGGCCCGGGGGCCACGGGCTCCGGCCACCTGCACAACGGGGACCTCGACCACTTCTGCAACAGCGACAACTGCAGGGAGGTGAGCGCAGAGGGTCGGCCGCCCCTGCCTGGTCCCCATCTGCTGCCCACCCCCCGACGGACAGCCTCTGAGCCCCCATGTCCCTCCCAGGTGCGCATCGAGAAGCGCCGGGGGGAGGGCCTGGGCGTGGCCCTGGTGGAGTCGGGCTGGGGGTCTCTGCTGCCCACGGCTGTCATCGCCAACCTGCTGCACGGGGGCCCCGCCGAGCGCTCGGGGGCCCTCAGCATCGGGGACCGCATCACCGCCATCGATGGGACCAGCCTGGTGGGGCTGCCCCTGGCCGCCTGCCAGGCCGCCGTCCGCGTGAGTTCTTCCCGGCGGCTGGGCCCCGCGTGCCCGGGAAGGGGAACCGCGGCCAGGAGAGGCGAGATCTCTTCCCTGCCAGTCTCTCTGGCCCAGTCCAGAGGGACACAGCGGAGAACGTTAAGTCCAGCCCACTGCTGTCCCCTTGGGGAAACCGAGGCCCGGAGAGGGGAAGTGGCTTACCCAGGGCACCTCTCGGCTGCCAGGGCCAGGATTGGGATGCAGGTGGCCGGGCTCCGGCGCCGGGAAACTTTCCTCTCTGCCAAAGGGCAGCTGACGCGTTTTTGAGTCTTAACCCTTGTTGCCCAGATGGGGAAACTGAGGCTTAGAGACAGGGAGGGACCTGCCCAGGTCAGAGGGGCGGGGCTGACACAGTCCTCGCAGCCTCTTACCCCGCCATCAGCTCAGGTTTTGACCCTGAGGAAACGGGCCCAGTGGGGTTAGAGGTCACGCACTCTGACCCCGAGCCAGCCTGGCTCGAGTCTGTCACCAACCGCACCTCGAGGGTCTCCTGGAATCGAGACCCTGGACTCCAAGTCTCTGTCGTGCAGGTGGGGAAGGCGGGGCGCAGAGGGGCAGCGGCTGCCAGGTCGTCCCACTGCCTCCCAATGACCCCGTCCCACAGGAGGCGAAGTTGCAGACGTCGGTGACACTCAGCATCGTCCACTGCCCGCCCGTCACCACCGCCATCGTCCGTCGGCCCCACGCCCGCGAGCAGCTGGGCTTCTGCGTGGAGGACGGCATCGTGAGCCGGGGACTGGGTGTGGGGGTGCTGGGGCGTGGGGGGGCAGCCCCAGCGCGGCCCCCTGAGCACCCCTTCCCACCCCTCCTCCCCCCAGATCTGCAGCCTCCTCCGCGGCGGCATCGCCGAGCGCGGGGGCGTCCGCGTGGGACACCGCATCATCGAGATCAACGGGCAGAGCGTGGTGGCCACGCCGCACGCGCGCATCGTGGAGCTGCTGGCCGAGGCCTACGGCGAGGTGCGCAGGCGGCGGCAGGGGCTGGGGGCGCCCACCTTGCACCTCAGGCCGGCCCTGAGCCCTCCCCTCCCCCTCCCCTGCCGCCCCCAGGTCCACATCAAGACCATGCCGGCCGCCACCTACCGCCTGCTCACGGGCCAGGAGCAGCCCGTGTACCTGTGACTGCCCCGCCCCACGCCACCGCTGTGCCTTCGCCTGAGTCCGTCCTCGGCCCACCTTGGCCACCCGGACCCCAACGGATTCTTGGCCCTAATATATTTTCTGATGTACAAATTAAAAGCTGATCGAATGGGCAAAGCCTCGCATCAGGGTCTGTGGGGCCGAGAGAAGGTCGGAGGCTCGACCCTCTGGCCCCTGCCTGGAAGCCGCTAGAAGCCCATGCTGCGAAAGTGCTCTGTTTATTAACGACCAGGCAGAGGGAGGCAGGTTGTGGGTTCTGCACGGGCAGCCAAGTCCCAGCTCCAGGGAGGACGGGCCAGCGGGCAACCTGGGCGGGGTCACAGGTCAGTGGCCGGGCCCCAGTCGTAGCCATCTTCGTCAGAGGACTCCATATCTCGGGCTCGTGTAAACTTTTTCTTCAGGGCTTCTCGCTCATAGGTCCTGGGGGTCAGGAAATAGGACAGGTGATGTGAGGGGGAGGACGCAAATTTGTCCACCATCAACGGAGGCACAGCAAGTGTGAACAGAGATGAGCGAATCTGGCCATTCATGGGTAGGGCCTTGTTAACAAACTCCTATGCACCCTTCAGAGCCCCAGCTGCAATGTCCCTTCTTTCAAGAAGCCTTCCCAGTCCCCCCAGGAAGATGCTGCCCCTGACGACACAGCATAAAGTGGCTCTGTCAGGCTCTGTCATGCCCACTAGGCCAGGAGCACTTTGGAGGCATAGCTTGGTTCTAGATCTCTTCAACCCCAAAGTCACAGGACCAGGGAAAGGGCCGAGGGCCCCCAACCTGGCGTACAGGGCTCTTACCGCATGCTGTCCTGTCTCCACTGACCCTGGGGGTGGCGAGTGCCCACCTTGAGAGAGAGAGGAGGTTCATAGTTACCCCCAAAGTGTGATAAGCAGAGATCAGTACCACTACCCCCATCCCACCCCCCTGTGCTTGCTGCAGCAGCGCTGCCCACGGACGTTCCGACTCCCCAGCATGTCTGCGGTCGCCCCCAATTTTAAGTGAGAAAACCGAGGCTGGGATGGGAAAAGGCCTTAGCCAAGATCTCCCAGCCTGTTGGCCACGGCGGAATTGCGTTTCTCATCCGTGCACCTCCTCAGAGGGCTGTTGTCGCAACTCCATGTGCGTAAAGTGCTTAAAATGGTGGCTGCCCCATAAGCAGGCTGCCACGGACTGTTGAGCAGGTTGGGCACTGCACAACCCCAGGGACATCACGAGAGAGGGTCTGGAGGAAGGGGTCTGCTGCCTTTGGATTCACAGAAAGGTGCAGGCAGCCCCATGTATACTAAGCGCTAAACAAACACTTGTCACTGTTAAAACACTCAACTCCTATGTGGCAAGACGGGGACCACGCCTTGAGTTTTCACAGCCACCCTGTGAAGTCAAGTCTGGTACCGTCCGTCCCTGCGTCCTAGGTGAGGACACTGATGCTCGGGTTAAAATGGCAGCCCCCCGGCGTGTGTCTCTGCCCCTCCGAGACCCTCACCACCCCACCTGCCCCGCACACCTGGGTGCCCCAGCGAGCGGAGATCGTCCCATGATCCCTTGGGCTCTGGGGCTCATCCGCCTGCACAGGCTCCGAGGACCGGGCCAGGGCGGGGGCCGGGGGCCCGTCGTCCACATCCGTATAGGGCCCGCCCTCGCCGTCCGTGTAGCCCTCGCCGTCCGTGTAGACACCGCCCTCGCCGTCCGTCTCCTCGTTCTCGCTGTTGACCCGACTGTCGCAGCTGAGGTCGGCGGCGCTGTCGCCCAGGCCGCGGTGGGGGAGGTCCAGGTTGTTGTCCGAGGAGCCGTCCAGCTGCAGGTGGGCGTGGATGCTGCGGTGAGACCCCCCGACACCCTGGCCACGACCCCAGCAGCAGCCCCCACCCAGACTAAACCCCCAACCTGGGACGCCCCTCTTCCAACTCCAGCCCCAAACCAGGCAAAGACCCCCAACCCTCAACCTCGAATAGACCCCGCCCTCCAGCCTTGACTCTTGACCCCAGCACGAGTTCGGACGCTGACCTTGATCCAAGGCCGAGCCGCCAAATCTAAGCTGAGCCCCGACCCTCGACCCCAGCCGCAAGAGGAGACCCCATTCCCAAAGCCGAGTCCCCCCATCTCAGCCGCCCAAGTACCAGGCTGAGACCCTAATCTCAGGTCAGATCTTGACCCTGGCCACGACGCCGACCCTTGACCAAGCCCCAACTCCAGACAGAGGCCGCGAACCCAGCGGGGCCCAGGTGGTGTCTGTGGCCGCTGAGTCCCCACCGCCCACGTGCCGGCACCTGGTCTTCGGCCGTCCAGATGGGCCGGGTCTGCTGCTCTTGGATGGCGGCCTTGAGTTCCTGGTACCAGGCATCGTTCGTGTCTTGCAGGGGGACGGTGGCTGCGGGGAGGGGGCATCAGTGTGGCCCGGAGGCTCAGGCCCGGGCCCCCATGCCCACCCCGCAACACCCAGCTCCCCCGATACCCGTGAAGAGGTGGCCGCTGTGCTTCCACAGCTTCTGGGCTTGTGCGTAGAGGCGGCGCGTGCTGCGGCGGGAGGCTGGCGCCAACCACTGGCGCAGCGCCTTGAGGGCCACCCGGCTCTCGGGGGCGCAGAAGACCACGATGGGGTAGTACTGCACATAGTTGAGGCGCTCGATCGCTGACGGGGTCACATCCAGGAGCGCGTGCTTGTCCTGGCCCGGGCGCAGGTGCAGGGGGTGGGGAATTAGAGGAGGAGACAGAGAAAGAGACAGTGGAGACAGAAACACATCCACAGACGGGAAAATCAGAGAGAGAAAAACAGAAAGACAAAGAGTCTGAGGTCAGAGTGGACCCCAGCCTTTCACACCCACAGGCCAGCATGTTGCAGGTAGGGGTTGGTAACATCCCAGGCCATGGCATCGTGGGCACCAAAGCCCCAATTTGAGTCTCTCTGCCTCTGCCCAGGGCTTGCTGTTGTGTAACTTTGTCTCCCTTGGGCCTCCCCCCTCGCCACGCCTCTAAGGGGGCCCTGTGGGAGACCATACTTATGGGGTGTGGGGTGAGAACAGGTCAGAATGTGCAGTGGGATGCCCCAGCCTCAGTTTCCCCATCCATGAAATGGGCCTGCTTACCTTCTCTGCAATCACCCGCACGGTGTCCAGTTTGATGATCTTCGAGGGGCTGTCTGTCCTCAACACACTCTCTGTGGAGAGGACAGGTGACCGGCAGCATCAGGGGGGCAGCCCCCTTGCCCCTCAAATTCATGGCGACCTGCCCCTCCTCTGCTCAAGAACCCACCATGGCTCCCCATGGCCCTTGAGAGAAATTCTAACAGCAGCAGCAGCGCCCATTGGCCACGTGCAGACACTGCACTCAGCAGAGCACGAGGGTTCCAATTTCTCCACATCCCTGTCAGCACTTGTGATCTTCTGTTTTTTGTTTTGTTGTTTTGTTTTTTTAGTTTTTCGACCATTTAAAATATTGAAGTACCATTGTTAGCTTCTAGGCCCAAAACATAGAAGGTGGGCCAGATTTGGCCTGAGAGCTGTAGATTGTCAACTCTTACTCTATTTTTATTGTTTCTGTAGTTGTTCATTTTTTTTTTTTTGAGATGGGGTCTTGCTGTGTTACCCAGGCTAGTTTTGAACTCCCGGACTTAAGCAATCCTCCTGCCTTGGCCTCTTGAGTAGCCGGGACTACAGGTGCCTGCCATCATGCCCAGCTAATTTTTCTATTTTTTTGTAGCAATGGGGTCTTGCTATGTTGCCCAGGCTGGCCTCAAACTCCTGGCCTCAAGCGATCCTCCAGCCTCAGCCTCTCAAGTCATTGGGATCATAGGTGTGAGTTACTACACCTGTTCATTTTTAGTTTCCTCTGGGGACCTTACCTGTCCTGTTCATTGGTGTAGTTCAATAAACATCTCTTGAACACAGGAAGAAACGGGTGGCACCTTGTCTCAATTGGCAATGGCTACCTGGCAATCTGTGTTCAGAAGGATTCTGAGGTTCTATCCAGACAAACAGTGCCAAGATTGATCAAGCATGTCTAGCCCGGGCACTGGAGAGGGTACTGGTGGCCCATCTGCCTCGTATCTGCCATCATTGTTCTAACACACATTCCTCAAAAAAGCATTGATGAAATGCTTCACCAACAAGGTTACCAGGGGACCTGCTTTCTCACCTGCAATTTCGAATTGGTCGGGCAGCTCAGCAGTCAGCTTCTGCATAGCGATGTCTGCCACGGGTCCCAGGATCACCACTGGGCGCTTGAAGCTGGCTGAGGGGCGCAGAAACAACAAGAATCAGAATCCCACGTGCAGCAAAGACTGTCAGCATCTTGTATAAGGACGTCTCCATTTCCTGTATTGTAATAGCCTATGTAGGTAGGTGCATGGCTGCCTGGCCAAAGACTACAACTCCCAGCCTGCCTTGCAACTAGGGGTGCCCATGTGACTAAGTTCTGGCCAATGGGATGCAAGCATGATTGACATGTGAAAGTGTGGTTTATCCGCCTTCAATCCCTTTCCCCCCGCCGCTGGCTGAAATGTGGTCGTCGAGGGACCTCCACCGTCTTGGGCCACACAGCAAGGTGAGAAAACAAGATGGGAGGAGCAAAGTTCTTAGTGACAGGGTCACAGCTCACTGCAGCCTCCAACTCCTGGGCTCAAGTGATCCTCTTGCCTCAGCTTCCCGAGTAGCTGGGACTACAGGCGCCACCACCACGCCCGGCTAATTTTTTCTATTTTTAGTAGAGATGGGGTCTTGCTACATTGCCCAGACTGGTCTTGAACTCCTGAGCTCAAGTGATCTTCCTGCCTCGGCCTCCCAGAACGCTGGGATTACGGGTGTGAGCCACCGCGCCCAGCCCATTTTTCTCTTTTTTAGGATTATACACATGCCTTGCATTATATTCCTGTTGGAAATAGGAATTGAATTTTAAGGAATGAACCCCCTTCCTATCTCTCTCCTCCCCATAAAACAACCCAAAGTGGGTATTTTGGGTGGAAGGAGGGCAGCAAGGGCCATGCCTTTTGGCGGCTGGAGGTTGGTGACCGTGTGCACAAGCACCTCCTGACCGCTCCCGCCCCGCCAACCGCCGCACACCACA